AATTACATATAGTTAAAAAGATTTCAACTTTGATAAAATAGGCAAAATTTAATTTGACACGAAATGTTTTAAATCAATGAATCAGACTTCCAACTTCCTTCTTCAGCTTCAACCTTAAATCACTTTAATGAAAATCCAATATAAATTTGTTCACCAAACACAAGCAAACCATTCATTTTCCTTTTCTTTTCTTTTTTTTTTCTTTTCTTTTCTGTGAGGAAGCTGTTTATAAGGTCACAATAACCCGGCCTCGAAGAGATTTCGCCGCCTCAAAGTTTCATCTACAAGCTTGAATGTCTTCTTTACAAGCTTCTGGTCGAGCGCGGTTGTTCTGTATACCTTAAACACCCGGTCTACCCGATCCGGTGCCGTGCTCTGAAAATACAACTCCTCGAATTTCTTCTTCACAAACCTGCATGCATAGATGTATGTGTCAATCCAAGGGTGCCATGAGAAAACTATCAAGAACCAAACCAGTAAAGCCAGCTCAGAGTGGCACAAATATACGAGTCATCAGTGCGAGAAAGGGCTCGGTTTAAGTAAAATTGGGGCGAGGGATGATGGGGTCGTAGTTGCAAGAATAAGGGAGTAGTAGATACGTACTCATAGGCGTGCTCGATCTCTTGTTTTCCACTCGAAACCGGCTGATAATCTTTGAACCATTCACACACACTGAGAGGGACCTATCATAAGAAGCTAATTCATGTTAATATTTCACGGGGGACCTATCCAAGAGTGTTGTAATACTCTCCATCAACACTTACTTTTAGAACCTTTTTCTCGAATATGTCGAACTTGTTGAGAAAAAGCATGAACGACGTTTTCTGCACCCAAAATCGAACCAGAGAAATCGTTATCTTGTGAAACAAATAATCCTTAAATACGATCGACCAGGTATATATGAACAATGCAGAAAAGAAAACCTCAAAACACTCTTGTCTCAGAACCCACTCAAAGAGTTCCTTGGTCTCCATCATTCGGTTTTTCTGTTCATCCTCGAAAAGGGTTTGATCATACCTGAAACAGTTATCAGTTAACACATTTGAATCCGACAAACCTTACGGTAATACAGTGAACTGTAATGTAAGACGTATTCTTCCAAGGGGAATAGACGAGAGATCATATCTAACTTAATAATTTAAAATCTTTGTTGTCTCTCAAGATTGGCATTCGGGTGGGCAATACCTCTCCAAAGATTAATGGGTTGACCCAATGAGCATAATACGCATGGAGCCCCCCGATAGCCCGGTTAATCGATTATCCAAACAAAAAAAGACAATGGGCCACAAGTCTCATCTCGACGATCTCCACATGGGTTGTTGTTAGATCACCAGCTATGATCTACTTTTCCTCTATAATTTCACATTTTAAAAAATATATCTTCATTTCATTTGGACTCTCAACTTGAATCACTACCTTCCAAGAGCTACTCTCCAACCTAGTCCCCCCACCCACTCCAAAAGAAAACAAGTGAAAAGAAAACAAGAGAAAGCAGGTAGTAAAAGCCTTATTCACAAAACTTTATTCCACAGTTCCTAATTGCCATCCCATCAGCTTTCAGGAGCATCCCAACCACCCGGTCATTACTTCGTAAACATCGACGAGGATTGAGAGGGGCATAGATTTTCAGAATCCAATGTCTAGGTTTCTATGTTACCTTCTACATGCATCAAGTCTACCACAGAATCATAAGTGGGTTAAAAGAGCAATGGTCTTACTCACTAATGGCAGCACAAAATATTACTGCTGTAACGCCTTCAAAAAGATGAATCCATTTTCTCCTCTCGTTTCTCTGTCCACCAACATCAAAGAGTCTATACACTTCGCCACTCTTCTTATTTTCACCGACGGGACTGCCAAAATCAAACCAATTCCGTAATTATTTCCAATGCCAGAATTTAATGATTAAGAACAAAGTGAAACATTAT